GGTCTGATATTTAGAGGGGGTGCAAGAATTATTAGGGCGCGGGGTAAACGTGAAAGTTACATAAATATCCATAGGCGTAGCCAGGAGGGGGGAGGGGTGCGATTGGTGCGATAACAATAGGCTTTATATATGCTTTAATGTTTTATGTAGCATGATGCTTTTATGTAGGCTATTAATTACAGTTCTTTTTGCAATATAAAACTGGTATGTTTATGCAAATTCCGATTGGACTAATATAAAGGGATATTGTTTCATTATGTGGACTTGAGAAAGTCCGACATACTCATTGCTTTCAACCCAAAACTTAAAATAGGAAGTTATCAAGATTCCAAGAACACGATCGCTACTTAAACAATACGTTTGTAAAATCCCGACTATCGAAATGCAATCAAACTTTCGCAATCAGGTGCCTAATTAGTCTTTTGATCTCTAAAGTTTTACGACTGAACGTTTCAATGAACTCGTGAGAAGCAAACGCAATCATCATATAAACATTTTTGAAAAGTCAGTCTCGGAAGAATTTTCCAAGCATTCCCTGCTTCGATGCGTTTTTATTGCAAGGGCCGTTTAGCGCCGATAATATAATCCATTATAGGGCATTAGGGTTGTGCTTTATTTGTTTTATTTATATAATGTTATAAATGTGTACGACACTTTAATGAATTATTTTTAGGGTTACAATGCATATTTGACTTTTCCCTCTAAACGTTTAAAATTCATCTTTATACTTTTCTTAGTTTGCTTCAATAAAATTTAACATTGGATCCCAGACAGTTATCAAATTCTCAGACATTTGATTAATATAGATATTTGTACTTCCGTTGACCAGTGGTGCTGGTGTGACTGAGATTCGAATCTAATATGTTTCATTTTTATGTAAATTGAGAGGAATAAAATTTTATTTTAAGCGAGTTTTAACAATCTTAGCGCTTGGCGTGCAGCTCAACTTAATACACAATCAAAGGTCAGAATACAGAAATAAGAACATGCCTTTTATTTGTTATTCAAGCTCCAGCAATATCCCCGTAGGTACGAACATTTTCGGGACGGAATGCGTGACATATTAGTGATTCGCGTGAAAAGTCCGAACGAAATGCGTACGTTTTTTTTCGGCGTTCGTATTTTTGCTGTGTAGACGAACTTTTTTAGAAATTTTTCTACAGAAATTTTTTTGCTTGACAATTACCAGGTAAAATGCGTATTTGCGTGACATTTTCTGTCACGCAAAAATAACTGGCGTGACTTCAAATTCTTCAGCAAATGCGTGAAAAATACGCAAATTGCGGGACAGTTGACAGGCCTGATGCCTGCATCTGGTTTTCCCACCTTTGGGAGGGAGCCAATATACACATAGATTACTTACTGGCCATGGACGGGGGGGGGGCACAGAAACGAACATTCTGGGGTCATAAGGGATACTTGGGGAAGAGGGAGGGGTGGTGATGAATAGTGAAGTCCGGGAGTGAAGTTAAGGGGTACTGAAATCTTTCTTTTGATATTTAGTGCTTGAATGGAGACTTGTTTCCACTCCCCGCATTCTAGTAGAATTTAAATATTTGATCCAAAGGAGTTATTTTAAATCAAACTTGCATTCCGATTAATTAACACTCCAATGATTGTACCGCTTAACTTCACTATTGTCTAAGATAATTATAATGAATTCACGGGACACTATAGTATATAGTATATTTAAACTTTAGTGGTTGGATGGAGACTTGTTTCCCCACCCGGTACACTAGTAAATTTGTAAATTTTAAATATTTGATTTAGGGAGGTATTTGCAATCCAACTCTGATGATGCAAGACTAGTCAACCAAGACTAAATTATGAACTTATTATCATTTAGACTATTGAGTTCATTAAATTATAATTCCATAGATATCATATTTAATCCTGTCAACACAATAATGGTATTAATTGGCATGATATGTAGTCAGAGACGGTTTAAAAAGTTGTTTAGATTAATGATAGTATTAGGAAAAATCCTAACTCAAAGTTTTTGTTCTCTCGCAATCCAGAGCAAACCACTCGCCGGGCAAGCATTCTTTAAAAACGTGAAGTTTTCACCATGTTGAACAGTATTGAAAATTGTCCAATTTGAACCATCGCCTTGTATATTTCTGTAACTGCCCCCCCCCCCCCCTTGACACTCGAGTGTAAGAATCCTTTCCACACTGTCAATGGTTTTACAAAATAGTTCATGTCAGGAAGGGGGAGGGGTGAGTGTAGAGAACAATCACTGACTGCGATTTGTATGATTGAACATTTTACACTTATCATAAATTCGTAAAGAATAGTTTTAAAATAAACAGCTTGTTTTATTTTATGATTGGAGTGATGTATGCATAGAAGAATGACACTGGTTTTGAAATATCTTAATTATCCCATTGAATGAAGCCATCCGTCCCTCTGTCCATTCTTAACTCATACTGGTGGACTGATTTGATTTAAAGGAGAAGTCTCGGTGTAGAACGTGTACACACTAATGGGAACGAATTTTACTCATTTCTATTTAGGATTCGTTCATATACTAGCGGGGCTTTAGAGCATTTACAAACGCACGAATTGTATTGTTTTAAGGCAACTTTTATGACATATAATGTATTTAAAGCTGATTAATTTTAGATTATATTCGGTTCAATTTTACAAATAATGAATAGTATTACAGTATATCGAAAAATATACAATGATTTACATTAAATTGCGCAGACTGCAAGCAATGTACATGGTTGGCGAATTTGCATGCGCGTTCTTGATAATAAGAATTAAAGGTTGAACTTAAAAATCAAACATTTTCTTTTTTAAACATAATAAATCTTTAAATCAAGAAAATAAAAATAAGATTGATGATTGAACTTTTCATAGTCAACTGCGACTGTGTCGACGCATGTTTATTTACTTAGCTAATTAGATATGTAAAATTGTTAATGGCTGCAACGGATAATACGTACATGTAAGCTGTTCGGATAAGACATTTCTATATGATTAATAACAAATGTTATTCAGCAGAATGTTATTCAGCAGTAACAGATCTTATTAGTTATTATTCAATTTGGATAATAAATCTATTATCTCGTCGTATTGATGTTTATTATATAGTGTTTCTCGTTGTGATGACACTTTAGTGCAACCTGTGATCAACTATGGCTGTTCATTGATAGGTAATAATGAGCACAAGTGTATAAATGCAGTCCAAAATAAGGCATCAAAATTCTTTCTTGGTGTCGGTGTCGAAACAAACAACGAAGCAGCTCGAGCTGACCTTGGATGGGACTTACCACTTCACAAACAACAGATAGAGAGTGCACGTCTTTTTATACGCCTGCAAAATTTGGACAAAGATAGGTTAAACTCAAAAATACATCATTGGTCCTTAGGACGTAAAAATAGTTGGGACTACAGAGTCTGCAAGTTCTTAGAGGCATCAGGCCAAGGGAATATAACTCAAATGGAAAACTTAAATGCTAAAGCTATTTTAGAAGAGGTCAAGCTTTATCAACAATCTCAAGATCCCTTTCTAAAAAACATTTGGAATGACAAAAACAATGAAGTGAATGGTAATAAATTAAGAACTTTCAGGCAATTTAAGTATGGAGTAGTAGCAGAAAGTTATGTAACTTGTTTCATCCCAAGACACCATCGAAGTGCATTGGCTAAACTGAGAACTGGGACGCTACAACTCCGTATAGAAACTGGTAGATATGATGGTACTCCTCTGGACCAGAGAACTTGCAAACTCTGTGATTTGGATGAAGTTGAAAATGAAATTCATTTTCTGATAAAATGTCCACACTATAAGCTCCTAAGGGATACCTTCTATAGAGAGATTGTGCAAGAGCAATTGCCTTATATAGACTTGAGTAATGCAAATTCACTTTTGACATTTATTAGCCTAATGCTTGCCAAGAAGATTCAAAAACCTCTAGCAGCTCTTATTCATAATATGTATTCAAAAAGGCAATTTGACTATGGCAGATTATAGGAGTTACATTTGTGAAGTCCAGACTTGGTTAAAACTGATACTTTTTTAGAATTAAAGATATAACTGGGCAGCAGGTGTGTGTCCCCAATCTGTTATAGTCATTTTCCAGCACTTGACTACAAAATTTATTGTATCAATACAGTTTATTTATGCATGCATATTCATTTATTGTGATAATGGCCATTAATAGAAAATATTTGTCAAAGCATTTAAAGATGGCAGCACTTGAGTACTACTCTATCTAAGAGTGCTCTATTAAGTCAACTTACTCTAGTCAATATTCAATTACAATTAGATATACATTTAATGGTGTCTCCTAAGCCGATGCCGGCTGGTGGGTTTTTTAAAAAAAGTATTTATTATATGATATTGAATGTAGTTTTTAAACCTGTGACACAGAAATAAAATATTTTAAACTTAAACTAAACTATTCAATTTCAGGTCACAATGATTTCAATGGGATTTTGCGATACTTACTATCTTTTAAAGTGTATAACTTAAGTTCTAGAAACGTTTTTACTTTTATTACGATTTTAGTTTTATTTGAAAGATAATATATTATTCTTTGACTGAAAAATTGATTGTGAAAAAAAAATGTGACAGAAAATCACAAAGTATAAAAAATGTACACCCTCTAGGTCATGTTGACCTCGATTTGACTTTTGTTGAACTTCTTTTTTAAACAATATTTTTCTGAAGAGATAGTTGAATACGTTTTACAATACCAGCAATATTAAAATCAGACAAGTAATAGAAATCACAGAGGTGGTGGGATGGGTCAAAATGACCCCTCCCCTTCCGACTTAGTGTTAATAAAAGACATTAGAGTTATATCAGATTGGAAATGATAGTATCATTTACGTTTCATCAAGGATATCTATTCTTGGCAAGTGACGTAACGTAAATCAATTTTACATTTTACCAACCAAGAGGTTATACAATTAAATGTAGAATGTAATGAACAAAGTGACTTATTAATACTGATTCATTGAAACAAATATATTCACATATGTTTCAGGAAAAATCGTGTGTCGTCATCTGAGACGAATTTGAAAGACGAGGAAGAGGTCAAAAATACGTAGGCAATGACAATATGACAAAGATGACGAAATAAATTTTCGGATGCATACAACAGATAACAATTTATAATAAATGAAGAAGTTATTTAGAAGACATGAATCATAAAGAAACTTCTTTGTTTGTCCTCTTTGTCATATTTTGAACTGGAGCAAAAGGTTGAACAGAAACTTTGATTTGAATGTCTAAATCAGTGATACCTATACTTTTAATAATTTGTGGACATCAGTATTGACAATAAACGCAATTGCAATTTAGTATAGTCTAAAAGAATGACGATTCGATAGAAAATATGGCGTTTGACTATTGCTTTCCAGATAAAATCATAATTTATACATTGTGGCTAGTCGAAATGTTTTGAATCAGCCTTTGACATGTTATGTAACAAATGTTCACATGTCCATTATAGAAAATTGGCTTATTGCAAAAATATAACTGGTAAGTGATGTCAGAGTTTGTAAAAAAAATAAACGTTGTGTCTTAAAATCCTGCATACATACTCAATATATATGATATGACAATATAGGAAAGTTTTAGCATTTTCATTCATGTTATGGCGAACATATTTGAACATTTCGAAAACTAAATCATATATTAGTCACAGTTCGATTCCAATATATAACATTTGAATTGAGAACGGTAACAAATGGATTGATATTGTTCTATCATAATTCACGCCTTTATCATAATGATATTTTTACACAGATGACACTGGCCAGCCAGATTTCCTGTGTATCCATTGCTTGGATAAACATTCCTCATTAAGTGAATCAATTTACCACACCTTTATATGACACCCTCGAAGAAGAATTGAAAATTGATAGATTGGATATAACTCCATCAACTGGAAAATGTATTACAGTAGGAAACACGTTGGTGCCATCCCTCATACCGTAACTTTGAAAAATAGGTCTACATCATATAATGATGGCGTTGAACACGTTGAAATAAGGTATTAAATTCATTGGAGAGAATAATAACAATGTGAATATACAAATAAAGCAGTTGCAATGACTATACAAAATGTTCCATTGGTCTAATTTATATTTAATTATCATTAATTGCACGACTCCTGCCATATACTGACTGTAAAAAATACTTCCTCTATTTAAGTTTTGACCTCCCTCCATCTGTCAAAATCAGAATAACCATTTTGACATTTTCTATAAATGGCGTATTCAACAGATGAGATCTTTTTAGTTTTTTGGGGAGTTTTGGTTCAAACTTTTTCACTGACAAAGGACATACTTGGGTATGATGGCATGATAGCAAGACATGGCCACAAATCTTAATTTTCTCTAAAAGACAGACCATCTGAATGGGAAAACGCATATTAAAACATTAAGTTGTGTCATCCCACAACATTTGTACTATCATATGTTATCGTATTCGGGGATTCCCAAATATATTATATCCAATCCAATTGCAGGATGTGATCACGTCAACGATCACGAGCTCGTACTTTCTCAGTGCCACGCATGCGCAAAGTAAAAATTTGAAATCGTGGAAATGGAATTTATTTCGGTTTAAAACATCAGTTCAACATCATCATTTCATAACTACGGCTACTATTGAAGTTACTCGATCCAAACTTGTAGAGAATAAAACAACAACGAACACTGAGGGATTCATTTCAATGGTAAATGAGGCCTGTTTATTAAGTTGGTTATCGAACGTGCCAATACGAAAAGTCATCTTTTGGGAAAGCTCTCCCCTAACCATCATTTTGACCCCCTCCCCCGACCATCACTTGTGGGAGAATATGAAGAGCAAAAATCTAACGAGACATCTATCAATCTTCACTGTACAAATTATAATTATAAACATTATATGCAATATAATGCGTTTTATTGTTTCAATTGCCGAAGGGAGTCTTATGTTTACACAAATGGGGGTTTAGTGCAAAGTAGGCATTCCCCAATGTGTTTTAGTTTGAATTGATCAATCCCCTTTTGGATTTATTGGTACATTTGTCACATGACACACCACAATACATTTTATTCATTTTAAATTCCCAACCGGGAAAGACACATTGATAGGGAGGTAGGATTATTTTATTTTATTTCCCTCCCTCCTCTCTGTATTCCAGACTTAATTTTTTTATCATACTTTTAATTGTACTAATATGCAAAGAACGTGAGTATGCACTTAATCAAGCTTATTAGGTTTTTATATTAGGTGATCCTACTAATTAGCTAGATTATTGTCGTATCTTATTAAGCTAATCTAGCTTATTAAGCTTATTAAGCTAATTATGCTTATCTAGTTTATTACGCTAATCAAGTGCTCAACTTAAGACACCCCGATGGCCAAATTAATATAAACTTAGAAATTGGTAGGATGATTTAAAATTACGCCGTTCTCGTATCATTGAATTAAATAATTAGTTGTGTTTCGTTTATTTTGCGTATATTCATAATGGGAATTCCTATATTGCCCAAGTCCCCGCCGAGGTCTTTGTCATGACCTGTGCAAGACAATCAATATATCAACTCAATGAGTAAATTCCTTCCCCCTTTCGGAAACCAACGTAGCTAGGGTATAATGACAGATTTAAGATGATATGCTATGCAGGCAACGATGTTTCTAAACAAAATCAAATTTTTCAAAATTTGCAATAAATCGAAATAGTAAAAATGACCCTATAATTATAGTAACCATTGGCATGATTTAGAGGACTTATCTAGTAAATGATGGTTCCTAATTTGGAGGGTTCGATCTGGATCTCCAAAATCGCCGCGAATTATCCAGGTGATCTATAATTATTCGGAAGTGTATAAAGAGCTTTCCAACTGGATTTGTAACAAGTGACATACGACATATAATTGCTGTGTTTGAATAACATTACAATCAAGCATAATAAATAAAAATCTACAGATGCCTAGAAACTGTTATTTTCTACTTGAACGAGACAAACATTGACCTAACAATAGTTAGCCCCTCTAAGTACATATACTAATAAATGACAATAGAAATAGAGGCGGGTCTAATTTTAAACAAAACATCAACAAGTAAACTCTCGAACTTCAGATAATGTGAAATGGTATTTGATAACTAAAAGTACGGAAAACGGAAAATTATTGCGTAATTGTGACATTCGTATACATTTTTTATACTTTGGCGATAGCTTCATTATTATCGTTTGTCTGCGTTTGAATCACTTAGTGCGTGGCGTACGTTTGCGTGCAGTTACAATTTTAGTGTCTTCGTATACGATAGGACATGGTCTTACAATGTGGAGAACTAAGCATTCACTGTTAATTTTGTGGTCTCTGATCAATTTACAATCAGGTACAGCATATTTTTATATTTTTGTTAATTGTATCAATCGTTAATCGTATTCTATCTAAATCTTAGTGCCTTTTTATTTTTGACATAAAAATTCGTATCAATGCAGCCACATTACCTCATCAAATATTATGACTTCAATATGCGGTTTGGGCATGCGTGTATTTCAGAGCAATTCTAATGCGCATTACAAATTTAAAAACAAAAGCATTTTGTAGAAACTGACGCCGAGATAAAGAGAGTTTCCATTGTCAATATAGAGATTCCGCAACTCACTTATAGAGCGTTTGTTATTCCCATATAACGTATACTAATGAGCTAATCTATGAAGCGTTTGATTACGTCATTATCTATTGCGCAACGTCCTAAAGTGTGATATTCTTATAAACCGTGGTCTATACGTAAGAATATCACACGTATAGAGGTGCGCAATAATTGATGACGTAATCAAACGCTTCATAAGTTATACATTAAACGGGGATAATAAGCATACTATAAGTGAGTTGCAAAATCTATCTAATGGTTAAGAGGTTGTAATTATAATATTATACAAAATAATACTGTCGGTTAAAGGAGTGGTATCGATATGGAGAACTTTTTGAACACACGTTTCTCTTAAACCAGTCATAAAAATCTAACAATTTTACACATCGTCAATTTAATGGTTATCTTTTGAATGGTAACAATATAATTTGAAATATATATATATATACTGTCATCTATATTGTTTTAGAAAATACATCAAACACTTGTTTTGTTCTTGGTATCATGTTTCCAGAGTGAAATGAAACATCTTTCCGAACCTCATTGGAACAAAACGACATAAACACAACATGTTTAGGTACAATTGTAATTGTGCAAAGGAAATTTTGGTTGATTTTAAAAAAAGTATCTTGTTAATGAAATAAAAGGTTTATCTTGATTTTTATCTATTTTGGGGGGATTTTTTGTTTTAATTTTTTGAATACTTTTTTAAAATCAACCAAAAATCCTTTGTATAACTAAATATTGAGAGGTCTAAAACATGTTGTATATGCTATTTTGTTCAAACAAGGTTCGGAAAGACATTTTATTTCATTCTCAAAAATTGGTAGAAAGGAGCAAAAACAATTGCACTAAAAAACAAAAAATGTTAACAAAAACAGTTATATACAGGGTGTCCGGAAAGTAAAGATACAAATGCTCTAATTTCAATAGATTTACCTGTTGTGAGATGAAATTACTACAGATTGTAGAATGACATTATAACAATTTATCCTGCAAATATCAAGAAAAATTGTTTCAAAATGAAAAAGTTATGGTCGCTATGGTAACAGTAGTCCTGGGTATGTGGAGCAGCGTCACAATTATGTTTTATAATTCTTTTCTCCTGCGCATATCATCTTGACACTCCATCATCTGTTGCTATTATACATCAAATTATGTACCAAGTACAACAGCAAAATAAGTAGTACTGTAATATCATTTGGTCATTTGACATTACTAATGTTATCCAGTATTATATATTTCCCAACATTATCTAAACATTCGTGGTGTATCTTGACCAGAGATTCAAACACCTGACAAAACCGCTGTTGTCCATCTCTCAGATTACTGATAAAATTGGCTTCAAGCAGAGTCTCATTTTCATGCTGAACTTCTAACTAATATTGCTTTAAGATATTCATTAGTGTAGAAGTCCAACAGGACATTATCAGGGTAATATGGGTCATT